AATATTTTAATTTTTAAAATATTTTAATAGGTAAAAATTTTAAGTTAGATAATGGTAATTGTTATAATTTTTCATTAAATTATTGTTTATATTGTAAATAAATTTTACTTTATTTTTTTTCTTTTGTATAAAAAAAATTTAATCTTTTTTATTAGAGGCTATTTTTAAATAATTATTTTTTACTTTATATATTACATAAAAAAAACTTTTCTAGTTTGATCTTACAATTAATTATATTTTAAATTAAATAAATTATATTTATTAAGAATAATTTTAATTTTATAAATTTTTATCATAAAATTTTTTAAAATTCTTAAACTTATTAAAAATATTTATAAATTAATTATTTAACATCACTTTTTTTCATATTTTATTTTATTATCTATTTCTAATAATAATACATATGTATTTATATAAACACATTTCAACAACCTGCAAATAGTTTGAAAATGTTGGTTTTCTTTATGAGTAGGGGTCATGTGAGGAGACAGTGTAGAAAGGAGAGTTTTCCAGCTCTATAGTCTATGATCAGATGTCCAAAAACATTTCATCTTTATAGGGAGTTACTTCCTCCTCAACTGCCCTGGTTACATCAATTATTGCCAGAATATGTTCATATTCTGATACTCTAGTGCTTCTAGCATGAGAGAACAAAAGACATCGGAAGATAAAAGCAAAAGGAAAACAGAAGCATTTCCCAAAAGGAGTTTTGAAGGTAATATTGTTAACTGTTAGATAATAGATTAATCTTCTTTTTTTTTTTAAACAGATTGAATTACTTACGAATATTAATTGAGAAAAAAAAAAAAGGGTTCCATAGGGATCGAACATGTCACTTATAAAAAGTAAATAATTCTAACATAGAGTTTGTATTACTGAACCAGAGCGGATTATTTAGATTACTTATTTCAATTGATGATATAAAAAAATAATTTATTTATTTATTTTTAAAGAAAGGATATGTTCTTACTCCTTATTTAAGTGGTGGTTTTAGAGCTTCGACCATTAAATCACATTACAATAACCTTAATCTTATTTACAGTTCATTGTTTTACAAATTTAAATTATATTAAATTATAGAATTAAAATTATTATTTACTACATTGAACTTTAGTAATTTTAATTTAATTTTTTAAAAATAAAATTTATATAAAAATTTAATAATTTATATAAATGATAATTAAATTTTTTTCTTATAAGTAATTCTTGTTAAATATTTTTATTTGATAAAAAATTTTAATTATTAGTTATATAATATCTTAAATTTGTATTTAAAACTTATATTAAAATTTTTAAAAATAAATTAAAACTATTAAAATTGATTAAAAAGAGTAAATGAAAGGATTAATTACCTTACATTTAAAAGTCTCAAATTATATGTAAAGTTACCATTATAAATTTATAATCACTTTTAAATTTATTACAGCAACACAAAAGATTAAATTTTTATTATAATTTGATTATTAAAAATAATTAATGATTTATATAATAATTATATTTATTATTGAATATATTAAATTAATTTATAAATAAAAATTTTAAAATATTAATAAATAATTATAAAATAACAAAATTACAATTAAAATATATAATATTAACAGAATGTCACGTGCAAATAATCATATTCTTTATGGGTGAAATCGAATTATCGACCAACTAAAAGCATGTTTAGGTTAACTTGTAAGGATTTTTTTTTTTAAATACTGTTTGTGAGTAATAAATTTAAAATTTTATTAAAAAAAAAATTTTAAAGTTATTTTTAGATATAAGAAAAAGTGAGTAAAAAATAAGTAAAAA